TATATATATATATATATATATATATATATATATATATATATATATTTACACACACATACATATATATACACATATATATATGGTTATCTGTGCATACATGCAAGCATACCTTTTACATATATAATGAACGTGTGTATACATTCATGCATATCTTTTTTTTTCTGTAAATAAGGTCAGTAAAATTAGATGTAGTTATATCACCAAAGTTTCTTCAGTTTGGCTGAAGTATATTTCCAACATTACCTGCCTATACCCAGTGTACTGATAAATTGATTGCCAATAGGACCCTTGTTCCTAGATGTGTTTCAGAGGGTTCCAATTGCAAAATACACTTTTCATCCTAGGCATATGGTTAGACTCTGAAATACAGCATATGATAACCTGGGCAAATATAACACATAGGAAGAAATACGGTTTCTGGAAGAAGAAAATGTGCCTGGCTAATGACAGCTAAAAGAAAACCACTAAATAATGACTAGACTACCAAAGGTAGTTAGAAAATAAGGCCTTGGTGCTAGAAACATCACAGGATATCACACGATAGAATTTTACAAAACCAGCGACTTATTTATTGCAAATACCTTTTTTCAGTAACAAATGAGGACTATAGCATAGACCTCACATGATAGAATACACAGGAATCAAATCGACTATCACTGGAAATAGGTGATGGAGAAGCTCAATATCATTAGTCAGAACAAGGCCAAGGGCCAACAGCAGAACAGACCATCCGTTGCTCATATACAAGTTCAAGTTGAAGCTGAAGAAAATTAAAACAAGTCCATGAGAGCCAAAGTATGACCTTGAGTATAACCCACCTGAATTTAGAGACCATCTCAAAAATAGGCTTGACATATCGAACTCTAATGACCAAAATCCATATGAGTTGTAGGATGACATCAAAGGCATCAGGCATGAAGAAAATAAAAGGTCATTTAAAAGACAAGAAAGAAAGAAGACCAAAATAGATGTCAGAAGAGACTCTGAAACTTGCTTTTGAACATAGAGTAGTTAAAGCTAAAGGAAGAAATGATGAAGCAAAAAAGATTTCACAGGGTGGCCCGAGAAGACAAAGTAGAAGAGTATTACATAATGAAATGTGCAAAGTTCTGGAGCTAGAAAACCAGAAAGGAAGAGCATCCTCAACATTTCACAATTCTGGCTGAAAGAACTGAAGAAAAAAGTCAAGCTTCAAGTTGCAATATTGAACAATGCAGGAAGTGTCAAAAGAAGATGAAAGGAATACACAGTCACTGTACCCAAAAGAATAAGGCAGTGTTCAGCCATTCCAGAAGGTACCATATGATCAAGAACCAGTGGTATTAAAGGAAGAAGTCCAAGGTGCCCTGAAGGCATTCGTGAAAAACAAGGCTGCAGGAATTGATAGAATACCCATTGAGATGTTTCAACAAACATATGCAATTCTGGAAGTGCTCACTGGTCTATTCCAAGAAATTTGGAAGATAGCTACCTGGCCAGTCAACTGGAAGAGATTCATATATGTGCCCATTCCCAAGAAAAGTGATCCAACAGAATAAGGAAATTATCAAATAATATCATTAATATCTCACATAAGTAAAATTTTGCTGAAGATTATTCAAAAATGGTTGCAGCAGTACACCAACAGGGAACTGCCAGAAATTCAAGCCAGATTCAGAAGAGGACGTGGAATGAAGAATTTTATTGCTTATGTCAAATGGTCTCCTTGGAAGGAAGACCTGCTTCCATAGAGATACCATGTTGGAAACCAAGTAGGGGTTACTATGAATCGAGATCGACTTGATGGCAGTGAGTTTGGTTTGGGTTTGTTTTTTTTAAATGTCAAATGGATCTTGGCTGAAACTTGATAACCAGAAAGATGTTTACCTATGTTTTATTGACCATGTAAAGGCATTCAACTGTGTGGGTCATAATAATAATAAATTATGGATAACATTGCAAAGAACAGGAATTCTTTGCAGAACCCTTAATTGTGCTCATGTGGAATCTGTACATAGACCAAGAGGTGGTCGTTTGAACAGAACAAGGGGATACTGCATGGTTTAAAATCAGGAAAGGTGTGTGTCAGGATTGTGTCCTTTCACCATGCTTATTCAATCTGTGTTTTGAGCAAATAATCTAAGAAGCTGGTCTATATGAAGAAGAATGGGGCTTCAGGATTGGAGAAAAACTCATTAACAACCTGTGATATGCAGATGAAAAAACTTTGCTTGCTGAAAGTGAAGAAGACTTGAAACACTTACTTATGAAGATCAAAGACTACACCCTTCAATATGGTTTAAACCTCAACATAAAGAAAATAAAAATCCTTACAACTGGACCAATAAGCCACATTTTGACAAACAGAAAAGACTGAAGTTGTCAAGGATTTCATTTTCCTTGGATCCACAATCAATGCCTATGGACACATAAGTCAAGAAATCGAAAGACATATCGTATTGGGCAAATCTATTACAAAGGACCTCTTTAAAGAGTTCAAAAGCAAAGTTGTCATTTTGAGGACTAAGGTGCATCTGACCCAAGCCATGATATTTTCAATTGCCTCATATGCATGTGACAGCTGGGCAATGAATAAGATAGACCAAAGAAGAATTGATGCCTTTGAGTTGTGGTGTTGGCAAAGAATATTAAGTAAGTGTACCATGGACTGCCAGAAGAATGAACAAATGTGTCTTGGAAGAAGTACAGCCAGAATGCTCCTTATATGTGAGAATGGCAAGACCTTTTCTCCTGTACTTTGTCTCATGTATCAGGAAGTACCAATCCCTGGAGAAGAATATCATATTTGGTAAAGTAGAGCGTCAGTGAGAAAGAGGAAGACCTTCAGTGAAATGGACTGACACAGTTGCTGCAGCAACCAGCTCAAACATAGCAGTGATGTGAGGATGGTGCAGTACTGAGCAGTGTTTTATTCTGTTGCACTTAGGGCCACTTTGATTTGGAACAACTCAGTAGCACCTAACAACAACCTCAAAGGAGTCCCTGACATTTACAAGTGGTTAATGTGCTTCACTACTAACTGAAAGGGCGGGGGATTCGAGTCTACCCAGAAGTGCCTCGAAGGAAGGCTTGAAGATCTAATTCCAAAAAATCAGCCATTGAAAACCCAGTGGAGCACAGTTTTACTGTGTCACACAAGGGGTTGCCTTGAGTCAGCATCTACTCCATGGCAACTGGTTTAGACTGTCAATAAGTCAAGAGACTATAGTAAATAAACATGTACATGCAAAACAACCACAAAGTAAACTTAAAAATACAGACACATAAAAGGAAGTATAATGTACATATGAAAAAATGTCAACTATTTCTGTTAAAAATAGTTGACTACTCCTCCGGCCATGAGTAGAGAGAGAGCATAAGATTCTCATGTTCTACACTCATCCTATCTGTCTGTCTATCTATTTATTATTTAATGGAAGATGTACTAGCCAGTGAAATCACTAAGCTTGCAGGGACTCTAAGCCCTTCCAGGTAATTAAAAGTCAATCTAATTGGAAACAGCTACAGAATGATTATTTGAGGTTGTATGAAAAGAAGTGTTAAATAATAGGTGAGCTTCAATGTAGGCAAGTATGTGCAAAATAATACATGTAGTTAGGTAACAGATTTCTTCCTCAATTATTATGAAAGACTCCTACTTCTCAGTTATCCAGAAAAGGGACCTGGAAATTATCCTAACTATTCCTACAAGGAATTAACCCAGTATACAGATATGGCTTAGATAGTGTCATAAAAAGAATTTAGAAATAAAGCATACACATTTCCTTTTATTTGTGGATAACTATGGTTGCCCTGCCTAACTATTCATTGTACCTAAAGGTATGAAATCAGATGTAGTCCAGAGGAGGGTATCTGAGGTAATCCAGAAGATGGGGAGAAGGGAGGAGTTGCTGAAAGAAGATAGAGTTCTTCAGGTGTTCTTTTATAATGATATTGCTGGTGGACCATACCAATGAAGACAAACTTATTTTACTAACAGAATGTTTTTACTTAGGAGGGAAATACATCCTGTTTACCAAAAAGCTATTTCAAATATTTTATTCAATGTGCTTAGACTTTATTATTATTATTATTTAATATTCCTGGGAAAAATTTTATACTAAGAATTAATATTTGCTAAGTGAAGACATTTAATATCAAGTTGAAGAGAAACTGCCTTTGTTAAAAAAAACAGTGTCTTTTTTAGTGGACAGACAAAACATTTTTAAGTTCAACATGGGACATTTTTAATGAATTTATTTTGAAAGACAGGCAATGTGTTGTGAATTAAGTGCTACTGTTTTCATGAAACAGATACAGCTGCATGTGTTCTTTGTGGTTATGAAGTTATTTTACAGAAAATGTGTAACACAAAGGGACGAGACCATGTAATCTCACCAATTTTACTAAATGATTCTTCTTGGTGTGTTCCTGTGTGTGTGTGAAGTTACCTTTAGGGGACATAATTATAAGAGAGTTACATAGAATGTCTTTTGCTTTTATTCTATTTAGCATATCATGTACTTGCATGTTACTTATATGGTTTCCATAATTTTTAATTGTTAAATCATTTTTCATTGAGGACCCTTCTGTGGCATATAGGTGGTTTTTTTCTTTAGCATGAGTAATTCTGGAGTGAACTTCTTGGCACATACAACTTTTCCTGTCTTTTGGATTAATTTCTTAAGATATATTCCCAGATATCATAGATTTTGGTTAAAGTGTTTCAGTATTTGTCTCTTCGTACCTTTGTGAATATACTTTTCAGAAATTATACCCCTTTATACGTTCCTTTCCCTGGCACATATAAGAGTACTGATTTTACTTCATCTCTGTCAACATTAGATGTTACAGTTGTTGTTATTTAAATCCGTCTGCCCCCAAAAAATGCATTTTAAATACATTTTTTGATCACTAGCGAGGTTGAACATTTTTTCGTATGTATGTCATACTTCTCTTCCATGTCTGTATTTTTGAAGTTTACTCTGTAGTGCTGTTTTGCATTTAGATGTTTATTATTAAAAATTTGACCAATAACATAATCTGTGAAAGTATTATGAAACTGCCTTCTGAAAGTAACAAAAACTGAGCATTTCTAATATTTTTTATATGCTCTTTGGCTTTGTACAGGTGGCTCATGTAGGACAACCTTAAAGAATATTTTAATCCTTCTACTCTTTTTTTAAGCTTATTTCATTTAGCTTTATGTTTTTAATTTTTAAGGGCCTTCAAATTGAGGTTTATTTTCTGTTTTTATTTTTAAAAAAAAGGTGAAAATGGAGAAGACTTGGGATTGAATTTATAAAATTACAAGTGTTATGTGCTGAATAAGATGAATATGAATTTCTTTGCCCATATACCAAGATGAAGGGGGACCCCTCAAAGTATGAGCAAGTTATATTGGATCTAAAATGGGCAGCAAACTGGTCAAAGTGTTTAGCCTCTGTAGATAGCCTAGATGGAAAATGTAAGAGTCACAAGTGGGTTAGACGGAACCTGTAGGCAGGGCCATTATGGGTTGCATAAGAGTCACAAGTGGGTTAGACGGAACCTGTAGGCAGGGCCATTATGGGTTGCATAAGATATCGGTAGGAGCTCTGGTAGCATAGTGGCTAAAAGCACTTGACTGCTAACCAGAAGGCTGGCGGTTCAAACCCACCAGCCACTCCTCAGAAGGAAGGTTGGGCAATCCTACTTCTGTAGTGATACTGCCTCGGAAACCCAAGGAGGGGTCGCTATGAGTCGGGGCCGACTCGACGGCACATAACAACAACAACAACAACAAGATATCGGTGCATGCCTCTGTCAGCACTGAGGCTAATGTGGAAGACGTCACTCTTAGGCCTCCGTACCAGGAATCATCCCCCAAGTTTGTGAGACTCTTGCATCAGAATCAATAGGGATTTTTTTGTGTGTGTCCTTTGGACACTTGGGATTATCATTTATTGAACTATTAGTCACAAAGGGGTCTTGGTTCTTTGTCTTGTTTTGTTAAATTATTAATAGAAAGAAAAAGATGACAAGTGGAAAAGAGGGAGTGAACCAGCTCCAGAGAAAAAAATGGAACCTGTTGTTTTTGAGAAAGTGAAAATGGTAAGTGAGAAAGTGTTTGTACTGTGTGGACAGGCTCAGGTTTGTTTATATATGTGGAGGGAAGAGGGGGAAGCCGTGTGGGGGACGGGGCAATGGGTTATACTGAGCTCCACCATTGCACCTGGTGCTAAAGGGGTCTGCATTTAGAGTACACTGCCTGCTGCTGTCCTGCTTCTTTCTCACTGCCTTGCTGCTGCCTGATCTGCTCTGAACACTTCTCTTTGGGGCCAGATGGGAGTTTGGGAACTGCATCTGTGCTATCTAAGCAACAGACACCTTCCGTGCCACAATGCCAAGGCTGTGTGACACCTCTGAGAAGGTGCTACCCCTGACATTAGTCCTTCTCTGTGTTAAACCTTTTGTGTTTCATTCTCCTTTTGCAGTTAAGAATAGTCCACAAGCCAGGCCACACTAATCCATTTTAAATGATCCCTTCTTGTATTCTCTGTGATATTGAAGTGGACACCTTTCTTTTTTCACAGGAGATGTTTTGGCTGTAGTAGTAGATACTCTTGTATATGAGCTTGGAGTCTTGGGAGAGGACTTTTTACTATTGCTCAAGGAAGAGTCTTCCATCATTCTGAATCACATTGTATGCTGAACACAGTCATTAGTGAAATTGGCAGAGTGACTTAGGTAATCTTTAAACGAATCTCCCTTTTGGTATGAAAGTAAAAAATTTTCTAACCATTGGGAGATTTGTTGGCTCTTGGCTTTTGTGCCACTAGATATCTATCTTTGTTATTGGCTTTTCCTGGGACCCAAAGATGCTACTTCTGTTGGATCCCTTGATCTGTGGTTGTCTTGGTTACAGAAAGATCTCCTGTCTCTTCAGAAAGCCAAACAAACACAGATGATATCTTTGCTTTTCACTTGAGGTTTGGTTTATGCACTTGTGCCTCCTGCCTTGATTCTTTCACCTTTCACCTGACACTTCCTGAGTTTTGTCTCTTTGGTAACTCTTCTTGAATAACAGCAACTATAGCACCTGGCTTTAGAGTGGTGAGAGGAGAAAAAGTTCAAACATACCTGCTTATTTCTTTCTGTAACATATTTTCACCTTAGCCACAGAAAAAAGAAGATCCACAGCTACCTCGGAAAAGCTCCCCGAAATCCACAGCACCTGTCATGGATTTGTTGGGCCTTGGTAAGAGTTAGACTTTTCAGCTGCCATATTTTTATGGATTACAATGAAGTCTCAGTGACCCTGGAAAGACAGATAGAAATGAGATTCTCCAGTTCATGACTTCTTCACTAGGATTGTTCTCTCACCTTCTTCTTATGTGTTTTATATCTTAAGTAGTTGCTCTGAGGAAGTGTACACTGTGACACTTTTCAGAGTGACAGTACAGTGTAGGGCTCTGCCACTTACTCTCTTTGTGACCTTGGGTTAGCTCACTTAAATCCGAGCATCACTTTCCTGATCTATATACAATGAGGATGGTAATAGTCTTTATTTCGAAGATGTTGTTGGAAGGATTAAAGGAGATATTGACTTTAAAGTTCTTAGCCCAGTGCCTGACAAATACTAAGTGCTCAATAAATGGAAGCAATTTTAATTAAAACAGAACGTGTGAGCCCTGTGCCACTTCCTTATACTTTACCCCCTGTACCCTATCCCTGCCATTTTTCATGTGTGCCTGTTCCTGAGATGGCCTATTACCTCGTAGTCATTTTTCTCCAAACCTTTGAAACTCTAACCTAGAGATTCTGCCCTTTTCAGAAACAGAGCCTACCCTTACCTTTCACAATATTGATTGGTTGTTCTTTGTCTCAGTCCAATTCTGTTCATTTAAATCATGAGCTACTTAGGCTTCTGATTTCTGTACCTTTCATTTCTCTTTGAAAATGAATCCTATGCAGCTTTGCCCCTCAAATGGCCAGAAAGGAGCCAGCCAGCCCCTCTGCTTTAGTACTGATAGATCCTTCAGGCCTTGGTTTCCCCTGCCTGGCCTGCAGGCTTCCCACAGAGCACGTTGGAGAATATGAAGTAAGACCTCTTTTGAGAAGCCTCAGATAAGCTAGATCTCTAGGTCCTTGATGGAGCACGATGAGTCTTCTCTATCTGCTTTTTGTGTGGTATAGAAGGAAGGTGTGGGCTTAATGAGCAGTGCTACATTTGAACTTTTGTCTTTCTTTTTAGATGCTCCCGTGGCCTGCTCCATTGCAAATAGTAAGACCAGCAATACCTTAGAGAAGGATTTAGATCTTTTGGCCTCTGTTCCATCTCCCTCTTCTTCAGTTTCCAGAAAGGTGAGTCTTATGGGCTTCCTTGGATTAAAGAACATTCTGGAAAAGGTGATTTTGATGACTTAACTATGGGACCAAGTCATGCTTCTTTGGTGGAATTGGACTTTAGTTTTGTTTTCTTTTTTAAATGCATTTTATTGAAATATAATTTATGTACAGTGAAATACACAAAACTAAAGTGACATGGGTCAATGCATTTTTTTTGGGGGGGGCAGTGTTCCCTCCCTTCCCCTCCCACTCCTGGCAACCAACAAAGAAAGTTTCCCTCCATATATAAACCTTTCCTTTACCCTCCACAGCAACAAACTAATACTGTATTTGTCCATCTGTGATTGACTTATTTCACTCAGCATAATGTCCTCCAAGTTCATCCATGTTATGTGGTGTTTTGCAGACTCTACATTATTCTTTAGTGCTGCATAGCATTCCAGTATGTGTACATACCACAGTTTGGTCATCTACTCTTTTGCTGATGGGCATGTAGGTTGTTTCCATCTTTTTGCTATTGAAAATAATGCTGCGATGAACATGAGTGTGCATATATCTGTTCCTGTCCTGACTCTCACTGCTCTAGGATATATACCTAGTAATGAGATTGCTGAGTCAAATGGTATCTCCAATTCCAGCTTTTGCCATGTTGCTTTCCACAGTGGTTGTATCACTTCACAATCCCACCAGCAGTGAGTGTCCCAATCTCTCCACATCCCCGCCAGCATTTGTTATTTTCTGTCTTGTTGAACCTTGCCATCAGTGCTGAGGTGAGACAGTATCTCATTGTTGTTTTGATTTGCATCTCTCTGATGGCTAATGATTGTGACTATCTCTTTATATATTAGCTAGCCACCTGAATATCCTCCTTGGTGAAGTGTCTATTCATGTCTTCTGCCCATTTTTCAATTGGATTGTTAATCCCTTTGCTGTTGAGGCGTTGGAGTTTTCTATAAATCTTAGAATTAAGTCCCTTGCTAGATATGTAATTATCGGCAAATATGAATTTGTTGCTGGACTTTGGTTTTCTTGATTCTTCCCTTAATACTGTGTGATTTCGGTCACAGTTTGTCTTACTGTTCATTCTTGCTTTGTCTCCTGCCCAAAACAGGTGGGCCCTTTGAGTGGGCTGATTGTAAAGGCTCATATTTTTAGGTCAGGTCCTCAGCCTGAGATACTGTTAGAGAATTTGTAGGTATGAAAGACTTGAAACTTCTTATGGCTACCACTTGTGCAATGTCTGCTCTGTACAAGGCACAATGATAGGTGTTTTTTGTTTATAATTTTGTATATTTCATTTATAATTTTAAATCCCCACTACAACCATGCAAAATGGGTATTTTACAGATGAGGAAACACTGATTCAGAAAAGTTATGTGAGTAGCCTATGGTCATACATCTAGTAAATGGCTGTACAGGAATTTAAACTCAGTTCTTTCTGGCTGCATCATTTGTTGAGTTTTATTTTGTTGTGCTTTGTTTTTGTACCAAATCATATTGCTTTTCTGGAGAGCAAGGAACTGTACCACTGCTTAATTATCAGATGTTTTCAGAAATTTGGATGGTAAAAATATCAGGAAGCTATTAATTTGAACCATGAATACTTATTGACAGTTCTAGAAGCAGTAGAAACGTGAGGGAAGTCCTTAAGAGACTACTGTGAGGAGAACAGAAGGGCCGTACTTCCACAGGGAGATAGCTCAGGGGGCAGGAATGCATAGGAAAGAAGGACAAAGGGAAGAGGTAACTACAGGGAGGAAGTGTAAGGAGAGCTGTTACTTTGTGGGGAATTGCAGCCAGTGGCATGAAACAAAATGTGTATGAACTATTTTGTGGAAAGTGAATTTGTTCTATAAGCTTTCACCCAAATCACAATAAAAATTTAAAAGAGAGAGAGAGAGACTACCATGTGACTCTTACGGTTCTCTCCCTGCCTTCTTTGCCCCAAGGTTGTAGGATCCATGCCAACTGCAGGGAGTGCTGGCTCTGTTCCTGAAAACCTGAACCTATTTCCCGAGCCAGGAAGCAAATCAGAGGAAACAGGAAAGAAACAGCTCTCTAAAGACTCCATCCTTTCACTATATGGATCCCAGACGCCTCAAATGCCTGCCCAAGGTAGATTTCATGGGTAAATGAGTCATGGCAGAGTACCAGGTAGAGACATGAGGGCTTGCATGCAGTAATTATTTGTTGTAAAAAAGTGCTGCTGCTTTGGGAGCCAGGATATCATACTCCAAACAAGCCTGCACGTGACATTTCTTATGAAGCCAGAAAGTGTCAGCAGATGGATATTAGCATAACTTGGAGCCTTATTTCTGTGGGGTCTGGTGTCACACACATCATGTGAAGTCTGACTCAGGGTCTGAATCTGGACCCTTTGAGCCATAGAAAATCTTGTAGCAGATCTGACTAGCTGCTTTGCAGAATAAAAGAGTAGTTCTGAGAAATTCTAGCTAAAAAAGGAGTAGCCAGTGAGGGTTTGGGTTGACTTTGTATTCCTTCCTGTTTAACAGATCTGAATGTTTCTTTTCTTGGCAGCAATGTTCATGGCTCCGGCTCAGATGGCATATCCCACGGCCTACCCCAGCTTCCCTGGGGTTACACCTCCTAGCAGCATAATGGGGAGCATGATGCCCCCACCAGTAGGCATGGTAGCTCAACCAGGAGCTTCTGGGATGGTTGCTGCCCCCATGGCCATGCCTACAGGCTATATGGGTGGCATGCAGGCATCAATGATGGGTGTGCCAAACGGAATGATGACCACTCAGCAAGCTGGCTACATGGCAGGCATGGCAGCTGTGCCTCCAACTGTGTATGGGGTTCAGCCAGCTCAGCAGCTGCAGTGGAACCTTACTCAGGTAGACCACCCCATTTCCTCAGGACAGAGTTTTGAGCCTTCTTTAAGACCATCTTATTTCCAAGGCTATTTGTGTTTCTCCTTTAACCTTTGAGTCCTTTCACCATAGATGAGGTAGTGACATAAGCATTCTTAGGTTTGCTTTTTTTCCTAGAAAGTTTATCTAAAGTTATACTTTCTAAGGAGTTCTGGGTTCTTGTAGAATAATGGCAGCTGCCTAAATATGCATCTCTTCATACATTCTTAGAAACAATAACAAAACAAAGCTCTACAGATAAACAAGGAGAGCAAATAAAACCACTCATAACCCACAACTGCACATCAAGTAGGCAGAATGCCACAAACTTCCATCTAAACACCCAAATCTAATAGAGCCATCAAAGTAGAGAGTTCAGAAGAGACTGGTGAGAAGAAGAGAGGAAGTAGGGGCCTAGAAGTGACAAAACACAGAACAACTCACCCTCAGAGAGAAAAGGACCTGCCCTGAGGGGCCTGTTCTGAGAACAGGCCTGAGACCTGATAGGTTAGAACTCTGGTTCCTTGGAAGATCAAAAATGAGGGACTTGAAATATATAGGATTAGAGGTAGTAGTGTGGGGGAGATGAAGATGACTTAGAAGGAGCAGGTGCTGCTTGGAGACCTGGTGGTGAAAGAAACTAGCAAGAGGTGAAAAAGAGAATCTCAAAACCAAGATACACCATCCTCCTCCCCCCAAATAGTCATTTCACTATACTAACAGAAGAGGGCGCTCTTGAACTGGGAAAGCTAGGAAGCCTCTCCACACTTTCACATTTGTCTGTATTGTTGCTGATCCAGAAAAATAAGGCAGTACCAAGTGAACAGAAAGTGGCAGAAGATATTAATACAAAATTTTTACAAGATAAAAATAGAAAATGAAAATCAAAACATTTCAAGTAATGAAAATCCTCCCTCCAAAAGAGAAGAAAACTGTTACAAAATCTACCAACCTGAATTCCCAAAAAAAACAAAAACTCACTTCCATGAAGTCAGATCCAACTCTTAGCGACCTTTCCTTGGGTTTCCGAGGCAGTATCTCTATGGAAATAGATTGCTCGATCTTCCTTCCAAGGAATGGCTGCTGGGTTTGAACTGCCTGCTTACTGATTAGCAGTCAAATACCTTAGGCACTATGCTACCAGAGCTCCCAATCTGAATTAAATGTCCTTAAACAAGCATTTGTAGATAAGACGTATTATCTTAAATTGGAATTTCAAAAACTCAGATCCAAAATGGACAAAAAAGAAAGTAAAATGAAGCTTACTGAACTCAGGAAAGAAATTAAAGACAGAATTATAAACTGAATTACGAGTTAACCAAGGAAGAACAAAGTTAGCTGATATCATATTTGGCATTGAGGAAAGGCATGAAAACAGCTAGAGTATGAAAACTAAATATAGCAAGCATGAAGAGGATCAGAGGGAAAATGAAGAAGATAAGCAAAGATCTAACATACATGTATTTGGAGACCCTAAAGAAGAAAAAGGTGTTAAAAACAAATATGTCACTTTGAAGACTATGGTGCACCTGACCAAAACTGTGGTATTTTTAGCCACCTCATATGCATACACAAGCTAGACAATGAATAAGGAATATTGAAGAATTGATGCATTTGACTTATGGCATTGGCAAAGAATATTGAATATACCTATACATACCTATACATACATACATATATATATATATATATATATACTGGACTACCAGAAGAATGAACAAATCTGTCTTGGAAGAATTACAACCAGAATGCTCCTTAGGAGCAAGGATGGTGAGACTTTGTCTCACATACTTTAGACATGTTATTAAAAAAAAAAAAAAAGAGCATCATACTTAGTAAGGTAGAGGATCAGCAAAAAAGAGGAAACCTTCAACAAGATAAACACAGTGGCTGCAACAATGGGCTAGAACATAGCAGTGGCTGTGAATGGCACAGGACCAGGCAGTGTTTCACTCTGTACATGGAATCGCTATGAGTTGGAACCAACTTGACAGCACCTAACACCACAGCAATAACATCAAAGAGGAAACAAAAAGAGTGGAACAGAATCAATATATTTAAAACTATACATTTATTTCTAGAAAATATTCTAGAAATAAAAGACCTAAATCTGTTGGAAGAACCCACTGTGTACCTGGGAAAACTGACCCAGAACTTTTAGGCTTTAAAGTACAAGAAAACTCCTCAGGGTTCAAGCCCTCTCCCAACAACACACTTCCTCCAAATCTAAGTCATTTATTACAAATAAAAAAGAATACAGACATCAGACCTCCCAACTTCGCAACATATAAAACAAGACAACATTGTTGTGCTTAAAAGTCCCTTCGCTGTGGGATGGTAGACTGGAAAAGGAAAGAGAATAACCTCTCCTGCTGTTTTTACATTGACTAGACCCAAGATTCCCTCTTTCTCTCCCTGAGCATTGGTCTCTGTCAGCATCTTACTCTTGAAAAGTCCATCATTTACATAACCTCATGTCCTTGAGATGATCCGACTGTTAAAGTTCAGGGCAATTCTATACTTCCTATAACAAAGTTTCCCTTTGTCTCATTCTTCCCCTCTCCACAGCCCTCTACCTGCTTTAGTACTAACTGGCTGAGCCCACAGCCTGGTCTGAAAGTCTCCTCTCTTCCTTGCAGATGACTCAGCAGATGGCTGGGATGAACTTTTATGGAGCCAACGGCATGATGAACTATGGACAGTCAATGAATGGTGCAAGTGGACAGGCAGCAAATCAGACTCTCAGTCCTCAGATGTGGAAATAAACACAGAACACCTGTATGGCTACCACTCTCCTCTGCCCTCTCTCTCCCCTCTCTCTTCTTTCCCCAACTCCTCCCACCCTGTCCATTTTCCTACCTCTCCCTGTTTGGTTTAGAAATCACTCAGTAAGTCGTCTGGGCTTTGGCATTCTGCCCAGCTCTGCCACTTCCAAACACGCAGACCTCTCTGTTGCTTTATGTTGCACATGTTCCCTAGCCATTCTGACTCTTTTCCCAGCCTCAGGCCCTAGTCACTTCCTGACACCAGCACCTTAGAAATTGTTGGCAGAAGGCGCTTAACTGTGGGAGAGATGTGCATACCACTGAATACCCTTCCCTTGAAGATAAACCTCCCATCAAACTCTGAAAAAGGTCTACAGTTTTAGGCAAAGAAAGGGGAGTGTTTACAGGTCCTTTTATATGTGTCAGTAAGCTATTTCTAAGTTTTAAAATACATGGTTGAAGAGGGAGACATCATGCTCCCATCCATGATTTATGAGAATGAAGAAAGTGATTAAATTAAATACTCCATGGGCCTTGGATCAGGTTATCACTAGCTCTGGGGTGAGGCAAGACCCCTCCCATGAAGGTGAGCAAAAGTATTGCTCTGCTTTGTCCTCAGTAGCTCTCTGCATCCGAGGCTTCAGGGTCTGCTGCTTCAGTCAGCCTCTGTCAGCACCAAAGACTTTATGAAGGTCTCGCACAAACACACACACCTCCCCGGACTCCTCCCCACCTTCAGTGGGAATGCAGAGCTTAAAGTGTGTACTTCTTGTGTGTGTGGATTCTGCCTCCCACCTGCTCCCCATCTGTCCTGGGAGTTTTTATTTGTTTAGTTTTAGGTTTACAACAGAGAGGAGTTAATTTATCAACAGCTTAAAACTGTTGCCAGTTTTTCTTATAGTTTAAAAAATTTGCAATCTCATTTATAACTCTCTTCTTCCTTTCCCCTCTCCCAACATGTCTATCACTCTTTCATGCCTCTCTATCTTGGGGTTTCTGTTGCCTCACCTTTTCCAGGTGTATGAGGCAGAGGGCCTGGACAGCTCTTCCTATCAGTCATTGTTCACCCCATTTGAAAATTAAAACTAGAAAACTTTGCTTAAGAGATTTCATCTGTGGGAACCACAATTCCTGGTTGCCTTTCTCCTGTGTATGTGTAAATTCCTTAATAAATATTGCAGGGAAGGACTGTTTGCTTGGCTTTTACTGTGTGTCACTCTCGGAGGAGGGTAAGTTACATCCAGTTTTTTGCTTTGCAGTGACAGTTCTTTCACTTTCTGTACTGAAAAAAAATCTGTACTGAGTATGTGCAAGGGTGAGGCCAAGGTTCAGGCAGTCAGAAAGGGGATCTCTCTCCATTGGTGTCTAGAGTTGGGAGCTAAACATTCTAGACAAATAGTGTGACAGCACAGAACATTGGGGAAGCAAAAGCACATGAATGTTTCTAAGGTCTGATATGAGTCAGGGTGTTTATTGTGGGAGATGACAGCAGGGAGCCATCAGGGGCCAGTGCATGGGGGGCCTCCTATGCCCTGAAAAGGAGTTTAGCCTCAAGTGTTGTAAGCAGTGGGAGGGACATGGTCAGATCTGAATTTTAAGTAGCTCTCACTCACATTGCTGGGAAGAATGTGTTTGAGGGAACAAGACTAAAGAGCTGGGGGACCAGAGAGACAGCAAGAGCTGAACTCAGTCCATGGTAGTAAAAAGTTAGGCGAGATAGAACAGCAGTTCATGAACTGTTTATGAGACAAATGAGCTACTCATAGGTGTTCCAGAAAAATGCTTAAATAAGGTTGGGAAAGACTGAATGTAATATCACCTCTTGTAGATCTAGAATATAATATCCACATAGTAATGGTTCTAACTTATAGCGACCCTATAGGACAGAGTAGAACTGCCCCATGGGTCTTCCTAGACTATAATCTTTACAAAAGCCTGCCACATCTTTCTCCCACAGTGTGGCTGGCAGGTTTGAACCACTGACCTGGTTAGTAGCCAAGCACTTAACCAGTGTGGCTCTGAGTCCGAATCAGATGGCACACAACAATGACGACTCTGCAGAGGCCCGCTGGAAAGAATTTTTTATGGCTTGCCATCATTTACCAAACAATATTATTTAAACATTTTTTCTGGACTGTTTAATACTCACAGAATACAGATATCCTCTGCTTTTCTGAAGTTTGCTTTATGCCACTCCACTTTTACAAAAGACCTACATTAGTACTTGTTTTGCTAACCAAAAGAAATTGAAAGTACATTTTTACTTTTACCAAAAAAAAAAAAAAAAGGTGAACAGCAAAACTAGGGTTCAGCGTTTGTTTTGCAACAAGCCCTTAAGAGGCAACACACACTCAAGCAGCAAGAGTGACATATTCAGGCTCCTTCCCCAGAAACTATACTTGGCAACTCAGCATCCAGCCGCCATAGCTTTGAAATATGTCTGTGAAGACTACTGGTTAGTGTTGTTTTAGGATTTATGTGTTACTTGGTATGATTTGGTAGGTTATTTTGAATTCTCTCATAACTATTCTCTCCTAACAACTAATAATTTTGGATTAGAATTCTAAACTCTGTTCAGATGAATTCTGGAGCTGGAAACACTCAAAAATTTTTCCCATATAAATTAGTGGTAACTGCTTCCTCACTTTATGCCATTTTGCTGACAAAGATTTCATAGGAATGCTCTTCTTTTGGATAATGGAAGAAACCTACACTATTTTGGAAAAACATCCAGAAAAATATTGTAGGAATGTAAGTTGGGAGCTTTCAGTAATGGATGAGATGTGGGGATGGAGGGAAAGCAGTTGAAGAATTCTATGTTTCTAGTTTGTGTGAGAGAGAAATAGGAGGAGGAGAAGCTGGTTTTTCTCTCTATGAGGGGAGAAGTAGATAATTAGGAGCTGTATTTTGGGCATGATAAATTTGTGGTTCCTGTGATATATACAGGGAGCTCTGGTGGTATAGCGCCTGAGGCATTTGACTGCTAACCAGAAGGCTGTATCACAAAACAAAAAAAAACAAACTCATTGCCACTGAGTCGGATCTGACTCATAGTGACCCCTCCTTGGGTTTCCAAGGCAGTATCACTACAGAAGTAGGTTGCCCAACCTTCCTTCTGAGGAGTGGCTGGTGGTGAATGGGAATTGAGAAGTACAGAAGGAGACTCTATCAAATTAAATACACACAGTAAGATTTTAAGTATTACTTTAAAGGTTAGAAATAGAATATATAAATCCAAGACCAATAAAGAGGAAAAAATTGGAATAAGAAAATGCGAGTAAACAACCCTCTCCCCCCAAAAAAAGCCAAGAGGGAAAAATGAGCATAAAAAGGTAGAGCAAATAGAATTTTAACGTAAGAAATTTGAAACAAGTCTGAAGACCTAAATATACAATAATATAAATAAAATATACACTGTTAAAAGAGTGATATTGTCAGACTGGATTTTTAAAATCCATTCCTTCTTGCATCTCAGACCTTTCCTCTAGGATCACATTCATTCACCCTGAAGCATATCCTTTGGATGTTCCTTTAGTGAAGATTTCTTGGGAGTCTTGCCTGAAACATAAGCACAGGAAAATGTTCAAAACAAAAGAATGGAAAAAAAAGATCAGATGAATATTAACAAGACAAAATAAATATTAACAAAATAGACAAGATAGATTTTAAGACAGAAAGCATTGTTAGAAATGTGACCTCTATATAATAATATTATTAGGAGCTCTGGTGGCATAGTGCCTAAGGCATTTGACTGCTAATCAGGAGGCTGGTGGTTCAAACCCACCAGCCACTCCTCAGAAGGAAGACTGGGCAATCTACTTCCTTAGGGAGACCACCTCAGAAAACCAAGGAGGGGTCGCTATGAGTCAGAACTGACTCAACGGCAGTCAGTTGGGTTTTATATGATAATAAAAGGTTTTATTATATAATAAAAGGTTTTATTATATAATAAAAGGTTTTATTCACAAGGAAAATATAATAATTCTAAACTAGTATGCATATTTTTTAGGGAAAAAAAAGCCCCAAAATAAGTAAAGTAAAAATTGATAGAACTTCATGGAGAACAAAACAATCCACCATGATAGTGGGACATTTCAACACACTGCCTTCATATATTGAAAGATCAAGAAAACAGAAAGGATTAATAGAGTAACAAGCTTGATTTATTGGATATAAGTGGAATTCTTACCCCAAAATTAGAGAATACATATTCTTCTCAACTACACATGGAACGTTAATGAAAATTGGCCCCTATGCTCTGGTAGCATAGTGCCTAAGGCACTTGACTGCTAACCAGAAGGCTGGTGGTTCAAACCCACCAGCCACTCCTTGGAAGGAAGGTTGGGGAATCTACTTCCATAGTGATGCTGCCTCGGAAACCCAAGGAGGGGTCGCTATGAGTCGGGTCCGACTCGATGGCACATAACAACAACAACAACAACATGCTACAAAACACATAACAAGAACTCAAAGATTTGATATCAAAAGGCAAGATTCTGTGCCCACACATAATTAAGTCAGAAAGCAATTGTTAAAAAGATAAATAGAAAATTCCTAAGCATTTGAAAACATGCTGGTAAGTAATGCCAGAGTCCAAGAGCAAATCATACTGGTGGAGAAAAATGACTAAATAATAATAAGCTACATATCAAAACCTGTGGGATGTAGAGAAAGTATAGAACCATGAATGCTGATATTAGAAAAGAAAGGCTGAGCATTAATAAGTCAGGTGTCAAACACCAAAGCATTAACCCAAAACAAAAGAAAGAAGCTATGTAAAGGAGTTATAAATCAGTCAAATAGAAAAAAAAGAAAGTAGAAAAAAATATGTAGAATATTAATAAATCCAAATTTTGGTTTCTAAAATGTTCATCTAATAAAATAGACAAATCTCTAGAAAGACCAGTCAAGAAAAAATTTTGTTTCTGGAAAATACCTGAAACAATTTTCTCACAACAACTAATAATTTTGGGTTAAAATTTTAAACTCTGTTCAGATGA